TTTACATATCCCTACAGGAAAAAGTCTAACGATGTGATATTACACGATCTTGGCCAATCGCTGTGTGGGAAGTCACGAGCTTCAATCTCAGGCATCAAATAGTCGGTTCATGGCGCGATGATTCCACCGGCCCACAAACCACAAAAATTACTTGTTTTTCCTGTATGAAATTGTAAGTCTTGAGGCTCTTCAGATTGCTCTTCGTCCCCAATCCGGCAATTTTGCTTGTTTCCATACGCATTGAGCCAGAAATTGGCCCCATCGCTGAACAAAATTTGTTTCGAAAACAACGGATCCTCTTGGAACTTTCCTAGAGCCCATAGAGGAAAGCGATGTCGCTTGTCCAAGTTGCTGCGAAAAGCGCCGAATCGGCCTTCCATCGTTTTCGTGTACACTCTCAGCTAAGGCTGCTACATTTTAATGATCTTCTTGAAATATCAATATAGATTATCTAAGTACAATTATCAATACGAAGTATTGGGTCCTACAAAAAGTAGCTTAACGTTCCTTACATAGAGGCAATCAACACCTTCGATAAGTCTCTCAAATAAGTAAAATTTAGGAAGGAATTTCGAAAGCAGTCTTTAGTCAATAACCTGGTATTATATTCGTGAAAGTCTCAACGGAGCCCATCGTCTCGCATTTTTCAAACAACGGGCAACTGGAAATTCTGAATAATTGAGTAACTTTTTGTGGAGTGTTTCAGATGGAGCTTCCATCTATAAAGTCTACAAAATCATCAGCTGGCATTGAGAAATAAATTAATAAGTTTATCACTAACTTCGCTATCAATAGAATATTTGATAAGGCTGATATGAGACACACAGAGGAATCGTAGGAAATTGTAAAGCTGGTGAGTTAATTAGGAAAGGCTGACTTGGTGTGACTTTTAAACGGCCATTATTGGCCCTATTTGCCTCCATGCTGTAAGGCTGGGAATCTTAACAGACGCCATCTGCAGAAGTTGTAGGGAAGAAAATGAGGTGGAAAGAACTCAACACTTTTTGACTGTTCCCCGTTTGGGAGGTCAATACTTAATTTTAATTAAAATTGGCTCCCAAGCGTTTTGCTAATTTATAAGTTCGAAAAAAGCCGTCTAACCTGGTCCAACCTAATAATAAAATTACACTAGTTTACAGCAATTTTGCGACTGTGATGTTAGATACTGTTTATTGCTAGTTTTGTGTTGCTAAACCACGAAAATGATAGCAAAAATTTTCCAACATGTAGAATTTTTTGTTTTGTAGTCCTGGTGGTTAAACCACCACTATTTAATAATATTTCAAAAATAGCAGTGCACGATAAAACAATTTTGAACTCGAATTCGTAACCGGACACATCAGATACCACATAGACCTCTTGGCACATCAGTCGCAAATTTTTCTCTCAGATTTGTTGAGTAGTGTAATTATTGTTCTTATTGTAAAGTGTGGGTTCTCGTTGACCGAATAAAACCTGACATTTATTTTTAAATATTTTGTTTTTTCCTAATAGAATAATACACTTAGTAAATTAATCAAAGGCAACAATTATCGAACAAATGCTGCTTAGAATAAAGTAAAACATATTCACTAAAATATATAATTACACACATAGATAGGTAGATATGTACATACATGTACGCACATCCGTATATGCAAGAAAAAAATCTATTTAACTAAATATAAGGGAAATGTAGATAGGATTATAAACAATTTAAAGAAGTAATAATCGAAACAAGCAATACGAAAAATGCTTCAAAACAGTAAAAAAAAAACAAATATCTTTAATCAGCTGACTGCATATACTCGTAGAAGAAAACCAGAAATCGATTGGAAAGTTATATACAAGGCATGCATAACTACTTACCTTAAACAAACATACACACACATATAGTATACATACATATACAATATTTATGCAATTTTAACGAATCGAAATGAAAGAAAATAATAATTAAAATTTAGTTAAAAATATAAGAATACAAACAACAATAGCTAATTATATACAAACATACGCAATCAATATATATGTGTGTATTGCAAGCGAGCGCCGTTGCAGAAATTATCTCACAGCCATTCCCATACACACATACACACAATACAAAAGAAACTTTCAAAAAGTAATTGACCACAAAATTTTACAGCTGCTTACAACAACAACAACGCATCAATAAATCAAAAAATCACAAAGAAATGTAGCAAAATGAAAATGAACAATAAATAAAAGGCAATAGCCCTGCGCACCAACACGCCAACACAAATCATATACAAACAGACAAACAAGTGCATGAAATATTTAAAGCATAAAATATTCTAAAACAAATTAATGCAGTTATATAACAATTTAATAATGCAAAATTGTAATCAAACGGAAGTGAATAGTAATATGGCAAATCAAGTAAATAGACAACTAACAAAATATATATACATAAATATATATGAAGTAATATTTAAATGAGTATGACAATATACATATGCGCCTGTATTATAAGTTGAAATTGAAATGTACGAGTATGTATACCAATAAAGGATTCACATACAAACAAAAAACAAAAACAACACGACTCAATTTTATTTTTTGGGGGTTAGGGGATTTACATATCTTCCTCTGTAGTAGTTTACTCTGAGTTTACAACGGCGCGCCAGTCGTTTTTCCTTTTCGCTGTTTGGCGCTATTTGGAGATTCCAAGTGTAGCCAGGTTCTGCTCCACCTGGTCTTTGAAACGGAGTGGAGGCTTTCATCCACTCGGACGATATGACCCAATCAGAGTAGCCACAGCCTCTTAATTGGTTGAACTATATCAATGTCGTCGTATATCTCATACAGCTCATCGTTTCATCTTAATTGATTACTCAGTCCGATATAGCAAGAGTTATGCTGCCTTAATTTTCGAGGCTGACGTTGTTTTTTGTGTTAAAGCTGGTACCAAGATGGAGGAAACTATTTATGACTTTAAAGTTATGACTGTCAATAGTGACGTGGGAGCCGAATCGCGAGTGCGATGACTGTTTGTTTGATGAGATTGAAATAGTCACACGATGAGGAGTCGCCTTGTCTGAAACCTCGTTTGATATGGATTGGCTCGGAGAGGTCTTCTCAATCCTGACGGAGCTTTTATCATGACTCAACGTCAGTTTACACAGCCGTATTAGTTTCTCGAGGATACCAAATTTAAACATAGCCGGTAAATTCAGCTTTGAAATCGACGAAGAGGTGATGTTTATCGATCCACTTTTCATGGGTCTTTTCCAAGATTTGGCGATCCGATCTAAACAATTTATTTGGTGATTATAGCCTTGCCACAAATAAAATAAACCATATAAAGAATTGACTTTACTTGACAGCTTCTTAGGGGAAATGAACATATGGAAATTTTCAGTTCGATACCTCAGAAATTGTAGATTGGGTATATGCAGAGGGACAGAGATAGCTGTATCGACGCAGTTCGTCAGCCTAGAAATTCAAATACACTTTACAGGGTCTCAGATGGATTATTTAAGGTGTTAAAAGCTTCATGGTAACGTTAATGTAGCTTCTTCAGTGGAGGAGTGCTTTTATGAGATCACACCGATCAGCCGATGTAAAGTGTACTACTTGGATTCATCTGGTCGAAAAACATGTTTCGCCTTCTAAGATAATTACGAGAATATTTCACACTAAAGCCAAGCTTAAGCAGGCAGGTGAGTATAATTTTAAATGAGATTTGTGTACAGATAGCAGACATAGACTGGTAATAGTCGAGAGATTAAAGCTAATTTCTGAATTTTCGAAATCCATTTTACATTCTCTACAACCGTTAAAAGCCAAATTTGTCGAGAAACAAAGACTCCAATCGAAATTTAGGGTAAAGAAGTGTATCAACAAAGCTGAGCTCTCCTCATAAGGGATCGCAATTTAGAGATTAGACGACAGATAAATCAGCATAAGAGAATGAATGGGTCGAGCACTTAAAAATTTGCAATCTCTCCGCCGGGGAGTAAGCTTTGGGGTACTAAAAAAAATCGTGTAAAATCCAAATTCGATCAAATTCAAAACGATATTCGACGGCGGCGCAAAATTTCAAAAGGCTGTGCCTTACTTACTAAGACTCGACTTGAGTACAATATACACCAAGGTACTCAATCTGTGTTGTAGTTGTTGGAGCGACAGAAAACATTTAGAATTTCGCGGAATGGTGTCGAATTAACTACCCTGGCCTGATAAAAATCTGGATCCGTTCCGGTTAGCGTTAGACTTTCAAAATCTTTTGACTATGCTACTAAAGACTTCTCCAACAATCTACGCTACCTTCAGAGCTGAAGAGATGAACCATGGATTATCTGAGTGGTCGTAACAGTAAACAACCAATACAAAACGATGGATGTTAGTTTATTATATCTTCCGACAAATGGCTTAGTAAGGAGGTGGTCTAGATTTAATAAAACAGTGCATCAATGTACATTCAGACCTACAATTTTGAATTCTACGAACTTCCTTTGATTTATTATTTACTTTGTTCATAATTTTAAAATTCTTATTTTATTCTTCCAAATCAGTCATAATGCGTTCCTGACATCCTGGTAGTCGGAAAGCATTGTTTCACAGACGTTAAGAGGCTACATGGGGTTACGGGTTTCAAGAAATTTAATGTTTTATTGTCTTCTTTAATTCCAAAACACCTCTAGTCCTAAATTTTCAAGTTGATTGGAGTAATAGGTTTGGAGATACAGCCTTGAGAACTTGTGCGCTCGAGGCTAGCTAGGCTAAGTGCGGCGTTTTTAAACCCGTTTTTTTCGAAACTGTGTTTTTGAAGTGGCTTGGCAAGGTTTCTCGAGAACTACTCAACCGATCTTCATGAAATTTGACACCGGCTTTGAGAAACAATTCTTAAAGACTTCAACGAACGATTTTTTTTCGTTTACAACTATTTGAAAAAAAAATTCGCGATCTAAATCTCTTATAAAGAAACTTTCGAGTTTTTACAAAATATGCTAACTTTGTTTTGAATTATAAATAATTATAATAATAACACAATTTAATAATATTTTTAAAAATAATTTTACTCTTTCTTTTCCTACAAACATTATTTCCATATCACATCCTTTTGTATACATTTACATACATGTTAATATAATATAATATAAAACTATTACACGATGATTAAACGTTCAAGAAGGCGAATATATTGCACTGTCTTTGATTGCTTTGAGTTATGTACATTGACTTCACATAAAAATGACGTAAATGCTTTACGCATAAGTATACATTTACAAGTACAAAATGTATGTAAACACACAATGCAACTTTTGTTTTTCTTGTATGCGCTGGGTGGCTTACCCATCACAAATACACAAAATTGGATTAAACTAAAACTTGAGGAATAAAAATCAACAAATACACAGCACAGTGTAAATGTAAAATACAGTTAGTAGTGCTAAGGCGATATGTTTCCAAAGTAGCAGGCATATATAGGTGTGCCTGTAGGAACAGTATCCTTTTTTATTTATTTAAACGTCGTTTGGCAAACAGCTGGTAAATGCCAATAGCCGCCGACAGCGTGCCGATCGCGCCCACTTGTAATGTAGACAGCTTTCCGCCCCAAAGGTAGCCTCTAGGCAGAGTGCTGACGGCGTGGGTAAAGTCGAGTGAGAGCCGTAGAACGGAGAGCAATTCCAGGCGATGCTTTTTAAGTAATTTTTCATCCACACTAGAGCTGGGTAAAAGAAAAATAGTGAGAACATTACATAAATTAAAAAATCGGTAATTTAAAAACCGAACCTACCGCAAAATCATAGAGTATTATAATAACAAAAGTCTATTTCTCTAAGATCTCTAGCATATAGCTACATTAAATATATACTCTCAGTTAGTAATTGCATTTAGCTACTTACTTAGCAACGTTCGATGCGTCCACCTTTTGTTGATTCAATGCGTAATTGCGCATTGTTCTGAAAATGAATTCAACAAAAAAATTTTAAATAAATACAAAATACCATTAAATTGAGTAATTAAAACTAAATTAGTCGCTTCGACGTACCTCATTAAATTCAAGTAAACGGAAAGTACCCAAAACGTTGAGTTAAGCACATCCCAAGCATCGGCGTTTTTTACATCGAGTATATTGTTGTCCGACAGCCAACAAATTTTTTCAATTGGATAATAAAGTAAGTCCACAATATTCGCTGTGACCCCCAATACTGCCATTAGACGGTCTGGTTCCCCTTCGCCTAAGCCGTACTCCAAAGCGTATTGGATCATGGGAATGTCATCGATGAGACGGAGAGTGGCACGAGCGCCTGAAATACGTGAGCTGGTGATGGCATAGCGTTTGGCTAACTCCGGATTACGTTTGGCATGATAGCCGGCGACAAGTTTGGCGCTGTAACAAAGTGCTTTCATCACCTGAAATGCAATTATATTAAAGGGTTTGGCTTATTAGAGTTCAAGCATTATGAATTATGTTATATACATGCAATATTAAAGTTAGAAATTTGTGTTTTCAGGTATCATGTAATAAAGGAAAGTATTGCGGTAAACAATGATGTCTCTAAAATTTATATCACATATAATAACGTGAAAAGACCATCATATTCCATTGGAAGACCGCCGTATCTTTTGGCATTTCATCATGGAAAGACTTATGTACATCTAACAACGTTTACACATCGTTCAACTTTATTGCGAAAATCACGTTCTGTAAAGAATTTGTTTCGGGAGCTTCGCTCAACAAAGTGTACACGAAGACCGTGGAGAGTCGATTCGGACTCACATATAGAACGACTTGGGGGTCAAAATATAGTTTGTGCAAGAACTGAAGTCGCTCGACTTTCCTAAACGACATTGCTTCACTCAACGGGCTCTTGTAAAGTTCCAAGCAGATCCGACATTTTCATGCCAAATTTGGTTCAACGCTGAGACCCATTTCGTGTGATATTCACACACACGGACTTTCTTCCGTGGTGATATGTAAAATCTAAAGTCTATGCGCACAATCCCGCTTCGATTCAGGTCTTACAGCAAAACATCATTCGCCAGTTACTAGTCGAAATCCTCGAAGGAGTCATCGAAAATCAGACTCAACGAATGGATAATCTGAGACGTAGCCGCGGCCAACATTTGTAAAAAATAGTCTCCAAAGCAAATCCAAAAAATGTTCTTTCGAATGATTATAAACAATCCCAGTTTGAAGTTTCGGTACTTTTTTTTCTTTAAAAAAGTAAGGAACGTCGAAATGGATCACCCTATACAGTATTTGCCGCTGTTAAAATGCTATCTGAAAGTATGAGCTTCGACAAAACATGGATCCACACACCAGGGATAAAGGAGCAGTGGAAACAATGGACTTAACCGGGAACCCTGCTTCGAAGATGGCGAAGACTGTTCTACCGGTCGGGGAAGTCAAGGTCGCACTTTACTTGATAATGATAAGTCGGCTACAGACTCTACGAAGTCTATGGTAATACTGATAATATAACGCATCGACTAACACCTCCGTTGCTATTGTTGTTGCTATACCGCCAGACAACATTCTTGAAGTAATTTCAAGTAATGGTGCCGAATTGACAATTCTTGCCTGGATAATTATCTTGTTCCCTTCCAGTTACAGTCATAACTTGTGAAGTCGTAGATAATTTCGTCTATCCTGGACCAGCGTAAACACCACCAATAATGGCAGCCTGGAAATCCAACGCAGGATAACTCTTGCCAACTACTTCGGACTGAGTAGTTCGGACTGAACAAAAACCAAACTCTATAAGTCACTCATAATTCGAGTACTGCTATATGGTGCAGAGGCTTCGACTATGACAACAACTGATGAGTCGTCGTTTCGAGTTTACGAGAGAAAAATTCTGCGAAAGATTTATGGTCCTTTACGCGTTGGCCACGGCGAATATCGCATTCGATGGAACGCTGAGCTGTATGGGATATATGACGGCGGGGGAAACAGAGGAAGATCTCCACTCCGTTGGAAAGACCAGGTGCAGAAGGACCTGACTACGATTGAAATATTCAATTGGCGCCACGTAGCGAAAAGAAGAAACGACTGGCGCGCTGTTGTTAACTCGGCTATAATCGCGTAAGTGGTGCCTGCGCCAATTAAGAAGAATAAACTCATTTGTGTATATAATACAGTAATAACTTTTATAAACAATTGTAAAAATTTAAGATTTTACGATACATTATGAATACCCTATGTGTATTCTGTTTTTAATTATTATGCTGAGTAAATAGCACTTCATTGCTATAAATAGCCCAAGTACGGGGACTTTGAAATGAAGCGGCAGAGTTTCTGAGTATATACGTACATAATGGGTATTTAGTAATTAATAACGAACAGTTTCAACACCCTTTTTGTTTAAGGCAATTTGGATATAAGACAAAACGTTAACTGTGCTTGCAGCGAACCTAAGAAATTAAAAAAGTGTCCATAAAAGCATTTGTTATTCATCGCTTAGTTTTTATGAAGCTATTTGCTATATTGAACCGATATCGGCGATGCTGATCAGATTCACAGACGCGCGCAAAATTTCAGACCGATATTTCAAAACCTGACCGAAATAATTTGCTTTCCTTAGTAAGAAATACTTTATAAGTTAGCATAAAAAATAATGCTATAATTTAATTTTCTTCGTCGACCTCGATTCGAACCTTTGTGAATACGCAAGTTTTGAATATCATAATTAAGTGTGAAAAAGCATTCTCAGAATAGGCTATTTAAATATTACTGTTATAGTCTATAAGGTTTCTACTCCTCCCACAAACTCCTATACAAACTGTTCAGAAATAATTCAGTAGCACATTTTACACAATAAATACCAAATGCTTACGATTCATTAACAATTAATAGATTTTGTATGAAAAAAGTTGGAAAAAGTTAAGCCCCCAAACAGTTAAGGTAAACAAGATAGGCAATTATGCACGAAAGAAACGTTTATTTAGTTGGACGCAATGTTTACGCGCACGCGATTCCTTTCTTGACAGCTTAATCACTTAATTGCTTAAGTACATACTTATGTACATATTTGAATTTACTTAAAAATTTCAAATGACGTCGAAAAAAAGTGAAAAAAACCATAACTTAATTAACTAAGTTAATTTTTAAGCATTCTAAATTAATAATTATCATTTGGCACCTAATGAAATGCTACTTCGCAGTATTATTTATTCACAAACTCATTCTAGAGATTGAAAAGTGATATCATGATTTGCGGTAGACAAGCGTGATAAATCCATTTTCTCCGAGAGTTTGTTATAGTCAATATATATAATGTGCCACTAAAGTTAAATGGGGTTTTAAATCTTATCTAGAAAACTTTATGAGAAATACTTCTTATCTCGCTAATGCTTGACTAAACACGTTAAACTTTTGGATATATTAATTCTTTTTGCTCTATGCTTTTATACTCTCGCAACATTTTGCTCAAAATATTTGTTTATTAATTTATTACTTAGCAATGAATAATAATTTTATTTAGACAGTTGTCAAAATCGTATGGTAATATATGAATGAGTCCCGGTAATTTACAAATTGACTATTGACATTTTGAGAATCGATTAATTAATATTAATTGATAATTATGAATCGTACATTATTGCAATGCAATTAGTGGCATGCGCATGCATGTTTCTTCAGTAACAGTCAAGTGGTAATAACGATGAAATTAAAAAAAAAAAGCAAAGCATTGTTTTTTTATTTTCTATTATATACCTTTTACTCTAAGAAATCGTTTAAAGGATCGTCTCAGGGAAAAATTCTCGAGAAATCGATTTTTTTTTTTGTTGCATTATCAGGTAGTATACACTATAATCAGCATTCTCTCAAATTTTGAAATCCAAATTCAAATTATTACGTTCGCTACAGCGTATCTTGTAGAAAGCGAACAGAGTGGAGAATGCAGCGACTCCAATCTTTGAACTCGTTTTTCTCAGAATGGTGTTTTTCAAGAAGGTTTGCTCTCTCAAAGAAAGAGTTTTGAAGATGGAAAACCAAAAGTTTCCTTTACATTTTTAACTTTAGAGCATTAGTTACAAACTTATTTGCAATGACTTTGTACGTTTTTCCTTCAACACACATTTTCTTACTAATCGACGCTCTACATCTGTTCAGTTGCATCTATGACCCATTCTACATAATAGCTTCTTCATGCACTTATTGCAGCGGCAGAGTTCTTGGACGGATAAAAATCCGGGTCCCTTCTGTTTACGTGGATTGGACTGTCGTTTGAATGGAATAATTTCTTCTTTTCAGGTGATGATATTCCAAGGTATATAATATTCGAAAAACTCCAAACCTTGCATTGATGTGAAAAATACTTCGAAATAACCACACATTTTTTTCCAAATATTACTTACACCTATTTTATTGGCCAACCCAATTTAATGAACCAATGATAACTTGTCATTCTACTCATTTGCCTTCATTGTAAAAAAATAACAATTTAAAAAAGGAAACTTACAACACCATTTAACGAAAAAAAGTACCAGCAATAATCACACCTATTATTTTGTCCATAAGTGTTTGTGGCTAAAGATATGACTTCGAGTTGACACATGTGATTTTGTGACGCTGCAGACGGCTATTCATATCAGAAAACAATGTTTAGCATATATGATTATCAAAATAATTGTTTAAAAAAGAAAACCATGACTAAAAAATTCTTATCAGCCAATCAAAGAGGTGTATTAAATTTAAACCACATGATCCTACAGAGTTTACATAGCGATGTTTATTGTATCTTTATATATAGTATGCAGGTGAATATTATACACAGATCGGCTGGGATTTAGAATAGCATCCCGGATTTCGGGAATAAAATATAGAACAAAGAGAAAATGTGTACTTAATTTTAAATGTTCTCGAAATGAACTAAAAATGTTCATGGGTATATGAGCAAAAATACATATGCTTGTACACATACATACATATATGCACATATGAAGGTATATTGTATTTGCTTAACAATTTCAATTGACAATAAACGACACTTCGCATCAGGGTATAAACTACATGGAACAGAGAACGTTATACTTGTATGCATGCGAGGGCACAATGTAATGTTTATATAGCATTGTGCCTTCGCATGCATATAATTGTAGTCAAACACACCTAACTCATTAAGGCAGAAACTTGCTACTTTTAATTGATTTTAGTTTTGTGACCAATAAGGCAATATTATGAATCTTTTCAGGTGTTAGGCTTGAAAACAAAAGATGTGTTAATTCAACTCATCATAACGAGTAGTCCTCTAATCATTATTACTTTAATGTAGCGGAGCAGGTGAATTCAAGGTCCGTTGTTTTGATAATTTGTCATACATATGCATGTTTATCTTACAGCTGCACATATCTATATGCAGCTAATACACATCCATATGCACAAATGCTTACACATTTCACTTTCAATAAATATGCGCACACGTCTCGAAAGGGAAAAACCTGTTGTTCAGTTTGACACGAAAAGAGCTTCCAATTGATTGGGAAGGTGGTAGAGACCACATGTTATATTATGCCAACATCGCAATGCGTGGCAAGTTTAATATCCGGAAAGATAGTATTTGCTTTAAATTTAATATTAAATTGCCGATATCAGTTAAGCGACTACTGCTTACCTTATCTCGACCGCCGTAAGACTCGATAATATCACAAAATTCTTTTACAAACTTCGTCGTCGACATATTTTAAAATCGTAATTTTTTAATTGTCGTGTAACTATGTTAGTTAATGAAAAATTAATAATATTTAAAAAATTAAATTTTCTATTGTAAATAAACAATCAGCTGCAAAATTCACACAACTTTCACACACCGATTGTCAAAATGAACTACCAACAAATTCGCTGTCACTGCCTCGAACATCAACATACAAGTTGGGTGTTCAAAAGTGAATGAGCAACTACCTCCTAATCATCCTCTACTGTAGCGATCTATCGTTGAAGGAATTATGGCCTTGTAAACTAACAATTTTGCTCTCTATTTTTTAGCAAATATGCCAATCTACCTAAGTGTGAAATAAATTAATATTTCTGCTTGTATGACAACACTACCAGTAATTTATTATTATTTCCTTATATTCATGTTACAACTGTCTATTTAATGAAACAACGTACACATTTCACTTTTAATAGCGCCTAATTTTTTTTAATAACTGATTTTTGATGTAAACAAATAGTTCATCGGCAATTTATTGTTTTTGTTTTTATAAATGTCAAGAAAAAAATATGAAAGTCAGCTGTTTTTCCATGTTTGCAAATTAATGCACTGCACCAAAGCTATAATTTATAATATTAAATAATTTTAACCATGACTGCTTAATTCGTTCCTATTTAAATAATTTTATTGCAATCACTCGTATCAATTTATTCTTATTCACGTTTTTCTGCGTATAAGTTTTTAATAAGTATAATTAAAAAAGAATTTAAAATGTTTTCTTAAACAAATAAAAGTTTTGGGTTCCCATTATTACAACCTTGCAATCCTCTTATCAATACAACTCTGACTCACTGTTTACTGTCAACAGCAGCAGCTGTGCAAATTTTGACGTTTGCTTGCGAAAACTATATATTGTATTCAGTAAATTTATTGCTGTAATTTATAAAGTTTTATGTGGAATGCCAGAAATGGGCGAAAAAAGTAGTGGCAACAAAGTGAAAAAGTCAAAAAATGACTTGTTTCGCACATCACTGGGATATTATCTGAAACAGAAGAGTTTTGTGGTAAATATACGAAAAAAAACTTTAATTAAAAACCATGAACTACAAATACTGTCCAAACCACTCTTACAGGGTAATGAGAAATTTCGTAAATCTGACTTTCTGCTATTACAAAATAAGCGACAATTTATGGTACAAAAGATGTTGGATCTTGATTTACAGTCTGGAAACTCCTTCGCTTTCTCCAATGTGCTGTGCATCACGAATAATCACCACATTGTTGACCAACAATTTGGGCGGTAAGTTATATTTGGTGAACAATCATGCATACTGATGTGTAGATTCTAAGTAAATTTTGTGCATTCATTCTTTACAGTTTCTCACAATTTGTTGAATCACAAAGTGAATTCATACGTTTAGAGTTACGACGCTTTTATGCGCCCATGCTATGCCACCTGTATGTTGAGCTGATGAGAGCACGCGAACAAAAAGCTGCATTTGATTTACTTAAGAAATACGCACAATTAGTATCACCTGTAGAAACTTACGACGCACCTTTGCCTACAAAAATTAATGGCTGTTCCGTTGCAAATGACACACATGCCGATCAAACCAACAATGCCACTCCACATACCAGCATACGTTTTGTGAATGCAACAAATGATACACCTACAGACCCGGAACTGATGTATTTCATAAAACTCATACAAACACTGTCTGCTTGTACAAAATTGGAGGCGGCCGAAAGTGATCAAGAAGTGGCACATTTTCGTGCATCCAAATATGAAATACACACTACCGAAGCGGTAGTCGACACTCTGCGTGGCTACTTGGAGAAACGTGGTCATGTACTCATACTCAATCTCCTATATACATGGATACATGTGCACGTGATCGATAATGAGGTACCGAAGTGGAGTGAAGATAACATACTTATGGGCTTTGAGGCGACTGAAGACGACGAAGAAAGCAAATATAATTTGGCTGAGGTCAAACCGAAAATCAGTGCGGCGAGCGTTCGGTCGATTACGAAGCGTGAGGCGGAAGAACCACCCGAAGAACTTATGGTAAAAACTGAAAAGTCTGAAGACGTTTTAGATGAAATGAAAAAAATTCGCCTTCAACAAGTGACAGATAGCATGCAAACTTTGCGAATGTGTAGAGAGCAAATGCTAAAAACTCAAGTTCAACATCCCTACATTATTAAACTTGCCGATCGGGATAGAGGGTGAGTAGTAGAGAGAGCAATAGCTAATGCATAACCAATCTAAATAATTTTTAACGTACAATATTTTTTTCTTATAGTCTTTCCGCCGCTCATGTTGATGCCAATGAATGTCACCTGGTTGCTGGCTTCAATAATTCGGTGGTACAACTCTGGCAACTAAATCAACAAACATGTAGTGGCAAAAATTTATACGCACGCTTTGGCGATTCTGTGTGTCGCTGGGAGCTAAACAATATTTGCGCCGAAGAAACTGAGACTGAGGATCAAATTGATTTGGATGTTAGAGAGCATTCGCGCTTAAACGTAAACGATAGGCGGAAAAGAAAATACGAAGCTGGCAAATACGATAGCAATTCATTGTAAGCATTCTATTGTCTCTTGCATTTATATACTAACATATTAACAATATTAAAATTTCCAATTTTAGTAATGAATATGGTGGCATACAGTTGCGTGGTCATGGCGCTGGCGTTACGGACGTACGCTTCTCCACACATTACCCGCTCATTTTTAGTATTTCGAAAGATGCCACAATACGTAGTTGGCGTGCCGAAAGTTTTGGTTGCGCAAACATCTATCGTGGTCATCGTTATCCAGTTTGGTGCATCGATGAGAGCCCGGTGGGCATGTACGTTGCGACCGGTTCAAAGGATCTCACAGCACGTTTGTGGTCATTAGAACGTGAATTTCCACTAATTACTTATGCTGGTCATACACAAGATGTGGAGGTTAGTGAATGGGACGATTTTTTTCATTTATTTATTTGTTCAAAAGTTTTATTTTTTACTTCTAGTGCATAGCATTTCATCCGAATGGCAATTACCTCGCCACTGGCTCAGCGGATCTCTCCGTGCGTTTGTGGTGTGTTACAAGTGGCAAACTTATGCGCGTATTCTCCGACTGCAAACAGCCTGTTACGAATATTGCATTTAGTCCAGATGGCAAAATGTTAGCCGCTGGCGGTGAGGAGTCCAAAATACGCATTTTTGATTTAGCCGCCGGCGCACAGCTGAACGAACTGAAAGACCACACTTCCACCGTAAACAGTATTGCCTGGAGTAAGGGCGGTCGACATTTGGCGTCAGCATGTCGCGATGGCACTTTGCGTGTGTGGGATGTCAAGAAGCTGTCACCCATGAAGTAAGTCCTGCCTATTTATATGTATTCATAATTAATCACATTTTATTTCTTTAGTGACAGCAATAGCGGCAGTAGCAACACAAACACCTCATCAACTAATTTGAACAAGGTTATGGCATTGAGCAGCAGCTGTCAGCGTTTAGTGAAAGTGTCGTTTAGCCGGCAAGATGAAGTAATTTGTGCTATAGGCAGCTAAAGCACTAACCGTTAATTATATTAGTATATACAGCAAAAAACTGCGTGTTGAGACTTCTATGTATTTAGAAATTAGTAATGCAAGAACAAATTATTATTAGAATCAAACAAGAGAGTTGTACTCATAATTGTTAAAGGGCATGATTAGTTTATTTTAAGAAACTAAATTATTAAGTTCTGACTAAAATAACAAAAAAAAAAAAACCAAATAAATTAAGCGATTAAATATAATTAAAGTATAGATGAGTGAAGTTTTCTTTTTTAACTGACAGTTAACTACTGTTAGCTAAATGGCAAGGGTCGCCATGTAGTTACAATTTCAAGAAATTAGTGAAGCATTAAAGTGCAGAGATGAAACATGAAATTAAGTAATACATAATTCTAATGTAAATCATTTTTCATTACAATACACAAACTCATACTTTACAGCACAAAATCCATTTTATGAATTTTAGTCTAGTTTATGCCTAATGTCAGACGCACACATTTTTCATAATAATACAATTTTAATTATTCCATACTTGATATTTATTCAGAAATTGCCTACTTTAACGCTATATCTTGTTTTAAACTAGTTATAATTTTACAAAGGTTTTGAAATCCTTTTAAAAGTTAGCACAGCCCTAGTGCTTGCATTACACACCCACGTGTATGTAGGCGTGTGTGTGTAGTTGGCTTAAAATGACAAATAGTAAAAACAATTTTTGAACGCAAACTTCGGTAAACTTAAAGCGAATATTATACATAATTTATGTTTAAATATGTGCTAAGATGCAAATCTGAGTGTGTATGTGTGATGCAAGGTTTTTTTTTAACTGTTAAACAACTACAATTTTTAATTTTATAAATTAAAACATATTTTTTTTTTTTGTATTCTTATAAATTACGAATACGGAGTATACTGCTAGTTTATATACGAAAGTATACGCAATCTTGTAGTAACATGGTAATATCATTAAACATACATACATTAGTTATTTGAATTTTTTTGATTGAGGCCTTATTGAACAAACATCAGACTAACGAAGAGAAAGTAACGAAACAAAAATTTTGGCTTAACGCTTGTGACGGCCACGCATGAACTGCAATGTTTTCGCCATGAGTGGTGCTTTCTTGGCGCGCATCGGCGCATGAGCTGTAATTGAGTGCAAAAAGTTGCCTCAGCATAGTTAAATTTATAAAATAGCATTTGTGGTACTTACAAACTTGTGCCGCATCGCGTACGGTAGCTGCTACGCGTAGACGCGTATCACCCACTTTGCCGGCGTTGGGTGTGACGCTGGATAGTGCTGCGACGCGTGCCGCCGGTGTGGCAACCAGTTTTGCCTTCGTGCCAAATTGTTCCTGCTTACGCATCACACTACGCGGCGGTTTCACCATCGAATCAACAAACGCCAATTGCGTTTTACGAACAGGTGCCGCAATTATTTTCTGCGACTGCTTGATAGTCGCCGTGAGGCTATTCAACTTTTGTTCCTTTTCCTCCTCGCAACGCTAAAGGGTATTAAAAAATGCTTAGTAAAATTCAAATTACTATTAATGTAGATGTAGAGATTCTACCAACTTACCAAATACATTTCACGCCACGACTCCATTTCTAAGCGCTTTTTGGAACGATAATTGCGTTGCACATGTATTTGCCACAAGCAATCACTGTCCTCCATTAAATATGGATTATATTCTTCGAATGTGAGTAACTGTTGCGGTGTGGCACGGTCCAAAACAGGACGCAGCACATCAAACGGTACACCGCCAGTGTATTCTAGACCTGTAAAGCACTTTAATTACACCGAGAATTAAATAATAAAAAGCATGAAGTACAAACCATCGATATTCTTCTGCAATACGCGTATGCACAGATCAAATAGTGATGGTACTTGCAAGACTTGACCTGTCTTGACACCAGAGTATATTTTCGTACTAAAATTGCAAGAAAATTCAACAAATTAAAAATAAGTATTAAAACTGTCGGTATATATCCGACAACTTACCGCATTGTTTTCGATGAGATACCATGACTCAATGCCTCTGCATCAGTGAGTGTACGCACGGGTTTGGGAGTGGGCAATACCGCGCCGCTATTACGGTAAATACAATCCATTACAGTCTTATTGTGTGGAAGTGGTTTATAATTGGCTGAAATCGTTGGGAGTTCAAGCGCAATACTCGGATCAAGTGGCGCCAATTTCGCCGATGCCGACAATAAATCTGGTTTCTACAAATTAAAATCAGAATATTAATTAATATAAAATAAAAATAAAAAAAGGAATATCCAAAAGAAAAACTTACTTTATCCACAAGTTTTGCTGAAGTACTTGCTGAGCTTATTGGAGTCGGTATATACTCACTTCTAGCATTTTTACTTGAACTACTGCTACTGCTCGGCTTATCATTCGACGTACTCTTGCTAGAAGTGCTGGCTGTGGGCGATTTGCTAGTATTTAGCGATTTTTTCGCTTTCTTTGTTGGCATGTTAAGCATGCCCAGAACATCGGCGAAATTCGCGCCCATCGACGAATCAATACCATCATCCGCATCAACTTCCTCCTCATTGTCGTTGGGGATAGGGGGCTTTTGTTTTTTGGCTTTTGTGGTCTTCGGCACCTTAGCTTTTGTTGGAGTCGAATCATTCGAATCGCTGTCTTGTTGACGTTTTCTGCTCTCACCTTTGGCATGCGATGATGATGAGGTAGCAACTTGTTCGTTCGCCAATGTGGAAGATGAATGTGATGTAGAGGTGTTGTGGTGCTTGTCGCGATGTGATGTGTCTTTTGATGAAGATTTACCTTTCTCATTTTTGCTCTGTTACAAAAATGTTATTGTTTTAAACAGAATCTTTTTTGAATCAGAAATAGTTTGGCTTTTTTCAATTTAAAACAGTTTTATAAAAAATTTAAATTAATAAAAATATAAATTTTTTTATAATTAAAAATAATAATAATAATAATAACGAAAAATAATAATAATAACGAAGAACAAAATAATAACAATACAAATATATAAGTGGTAAATAAAACTATAAAAAAAAAACAAAGCTAACAAAAATGTACACAATATTATTGCACATGTCTGAAATATTTTTGCCATAACTACGATAAATAAGAACTCATTATTTACCTCCTTTGATCGTTCATGCCTATCTTTGTCCTTCGACGATCTATGCTTTTCGCTTTCATCCTGTTTGCTTATTTTCTCTGACGAAGAATTTGTTTCACGTCTCGATGAACTTGTATGTTCACTCAGTTTTCCACCCTTAAGACTTTCTCTCTTTTCTTTAGAGTCGCCACCATTTTTGTGATGTGTTGTCGATGAAGAGGTAGTTTTAGTATCCCTGTTTGAGCTGTGTTTCTCACCATGCTCGCGATGTCGCGTCGATTTCTCATCTGATGATTTATGCCTATCATTTTCGCGATTCTTTCCGTCATTTCGGCGATCCTCATGTTTGGATTTCTTTACGGCGGATAATTCTTTTTGTTCTTGCTCCACATCCCGCTTACGTTTCGTCGTTGAAATTTCATGTTCGTGTGTTTCATTATGTGATTTCGATTTATGCTCCGAATTGCCTTTGTCTCTGTGCTTATTTTGGCGTTCTTTTGATGTATTTTCACTTAAAGTATTTGAATGAGTATGCTCTTGTGGAGAAGTCTTTCTTGAGTGATTGTGACGGTCATCATCACTTGACCCATGCCCATTGGCATTATTCATATCATCATCATCGTCATTACCTTGACAGTTACTGACATCCGCTGGTTCTTCTTCAGCTGCAACCATAGCTTTCCATTTGGTAACCAAAGCTTTTGCAGCAATACCAATTTCGCCATTATATTTGCGCAGTGAGTTCACTGTTTTGCCAACTCCAGTCTCTTGCAAATGTTCTACTTTAACAGGTAATTTATACAACTTGTTGATACAGTGTAAAAGCTGTAAGGAATAAAAACAAAAATAAAAAAATATGTAAACAGATAAAAGATTCAAAATGTTGTAAAACTTATTTCCTACAATATAATACTAATGGTATTTTCTTTATTATAATAAAGTATTAATGCGCATCTGTTAACATTCTTAATTGCATATGGGAAATCATACAGTTAAATATATGCAATGATTAACACCTGACATGTAAAAGTATCAATTTCCGACTTTATTTCTTTGCAACATAACTACGTCAAAGAAAAATTTATTCGAATTTGGGAAATTTGCCGAACACACACATATATATACTGATAGCGTGTGGTTTTCAACTCAGACCCCAATATGTATTTTGTACATTAGTGTAATTTAGCAAGCTAAACATTGTTACATATACATACATACTTATATCCGAAATAATGGAGATATGGAAATTGTTGACACATGCCTTCCTATTTATGTATCGAAAACTTACTCTGCCTTCATCGTCCTGGGAATGCTCGATGCTTCTTTGGTAATGTTGAATAACACCTAATATAGATGTAGAAGACATTATCAACTGCTTCTGCTTCTCCAAGTAGCTTTATTAACGTAAGCAATTGTGCTTATTTGACAATTGATTCGTTTTTCTATACGTGGAAAAAGCACCAGACGTTTTTACAAAATTTGTGTTTCTCGATTTTATTTTGACTTTTTTCGGTGTTTAATATTCCAGTGTCAATGAAACAGGCCTTTTGGAAAAAAAGATTTAAACGTTTCACTAATCACACGTATTTAGAAATTACACCCTTTCCCACATAGGCCTTTATTCCCTCATTCTCACGCCTCTAACTTTTTTGCGATTTCTAATGCGACAATTTACCGAATTCACGCGTTATTATATTACAATTTATATCAATTTTCATAACTTAACAATTAACGCAACACTATTTTATTTCATCTAATGACAGAAAAGAAATGAAGGTATTATTTAAATGACAATCATTGACGTTGAATAGGTATGTTAATAAAGTTGAAATTTACAGTGTTGCATGACAGACAGCTGTAAGTGTTTTCTGTGCAGTGTTCACAATGTAACTCGATAAAATACTTAGTTCTATATCGATATGCAAAATTAAATATGAGGTGAGTAATAAAATCTAAAATCCACGATTTGCGGAAATCAAACATTTCTACAATAACCTAAAGAGTATTTAAGTAATTTTATGTTTTTTAAAGTTTCTTCCGGCTACAGTACTATTGGTTATCGATAATTAACACATTGTAGTCGCGTTTTAGCTGAGTTTGTTTATCACATCCTTAACCCAAATGACAAATTGGCGCTTCATAAATTGCATTTATTTGTTTTAAATTGTTTGAAAAGTTAAGTTAAATATTAAATAATTTGCCAAATAAGTTATGTCACAGGAATATGACGTATTTGCTGATCTGTACGGCAATGATAATGGTAATCATATGTTTGGGTGCGTCTTTGTGCGAACAATTTAAATTAAATTTGTTTTTATAGATGAAAAAGCCAAATTTCTCGAGACTCTTAAATCTAATACAGTGAATACGTTAAGCAGCGGCAGTTCAGATGAGGAAGATTTTCTGCCACTGTCTTTACAACGTAAAGGAAAGGGACATGATAAAAAGACAAAGCCACTTCCTGTGAAAAAAGGGGAGCTACCCACTTCAATAACTGCTGCTAAAAAGATAAAAAAGTGTCAGTCGCAGCCCATCGAAGATGCACCTCAACATGCGACTAATAACCAATCCACACAACCAGCTGATCGTGCTCCTGTTGCCAATAGTCGTAGAACGCGAAGTAAAACTGCGGCAGCCTCGCAAGCACCAAATTCGACAGTCACAGCATCCATAACAACTAGCGCCCCGAGTAGAGCAAGAAACGGTCGCCGAGGACGAAGCAGGGGTGTGGTAAATGAACCCGATATTGTAGAAGCGAGCAATACGATGTCCTTGGGAGAATCTCTTGGTGTAATAAGTACATTGATGAGAGGGCAGGTATGTGATGCTTTCTGGAATTAAGTTTATATTATACATGAAATATTTAATTTTATTTTTGCAGAATAGACGTAGTGTGATGCGCGCACGTCGGAACTACTTCGCAGAAATCGCTGCACGCTCCACAAATGTAGACTACGTGGATTTGGTGTCGAGCCCATTACCGCGCATTGAAGGCGTTGTAAGTTGTATTTAAGTAAATGTTAGAAATTTTTCACTCCATTAAACATAATAGATTGCAGTTGACTCCGATGGTGAAGATGATGGTGTTGAAGTCACCAGCTTAGAAACGCCTAATACATCTGCACTCGCAGCGTTAGAATGTTCCTTTGATGAAGATAATCCAGAGATATCGGTAAAAATAAAGTGGGATGGTGGAGCACCAGAAATTTTTAAGCTGCGGAAGTATCAAAAATTTCAAGACATATTTAGTAAAATAGCAGAACGCGAAGATACACCCATCGACAACCTAGTTTTCAATATTGATAATCGCATTTTATCAGCCAGTGATACGCCCGCTAGTATTAATTATAAAGTTTACGAATTTATCAGTAAGTATATCCATATGGATATTATTTAATGTCATATCAACGAATGTTCACAATTTTTGCACGACAGGTGGTCGTGCATTGACCCATCACTTTGATGCCGGTGATTTGAGAAAGAAGCGTGATGCCAATATAATTACGCTGAAAATTCAGTCGGACTTGTGGCCAAGGAAACCCTTACAAGTGGAACTTGGTAAAACCGATAAACTGAAAATCTTATATATCAAATGTGCCGAAGAATTAAAAAAATCGCCCGAGGATCTTGTTCTAAGGTATGAGTTATGTCGTGAGTTAATAACGATTTCATATACATTGCAAAAATCCAATTTGTATTTTTAGCTTCAACGGTGACCACTTAGGCTTCAATGAGACACCTGAAGACTTCGAATTCGAAGGCGGTGAGGCGATTGATTTGCGTGTAAAGAAAAAATAACGCTAATTGCTTTATATGCTACAATTTGTATACATTTTTATGTGTTTGGGAGGTTATGTCGAAATTGTTGTTTTTTTTTTTTTTGTTTTTTTTTAAGTTTGAGAAGTTATAAGTGCCAGATTTTTATTTTTTATTTCGAATATAAAGATGTATAAATCTCCCGTATGTATACAATTATGATTTGTTGTACAAATTTGAAATTTTAACATGTCATCAGCCAAAACGTATATATTTAATTTTGTTTAATTTATGCATATATATAATAAGCAATTGAATATTATTTTTATGCATTTAAATATAATTACTTTTGATAAAGAAAGTCGTCTTTAAACTGCAGTTCCTCTAATATTTAGCTGCGTATAGTATTTTGTTGTACAACAATTATGCTCTCAGCAAAACCGCGACTGGAAAATGGAATACACAACAAAAGCATTTGATGGGAGAAGGGAATGGATGAACAATTTAATTCCTGAGCACATTTTACAAATATCTGCAACTAACATAAAATCATACAGCAACTGAGCACAAATCTCAATGAGGGTGGAAAGCGGCTGCATTGACAGGAGAGCATACGAAATAGTACTATGCACAACCACACCAAACTGCGCAAGTATCACCGCTTTTGCCACCCCCAAAAAAAGTTCAGTCTCCTCGCAGACTAACACCTTAAAGCGCTTTCGCTCGCACATCTCCCCTTTGCAGAGCGGAAGCGAAGACGAAAGTTTTTAAACTTTGCAAATTCGAAGTGACTTGAATTCGCGCACAGGAGCTTCGCATTCGGTGTGTTCAGAAAGAGCAAGTCCTTTGTGGCAAATGGCTGTGTTCTCTGTTTTGTTCAAATATACAACATTAATCTACAGGCAAATATTTAGCAAACGCACCAAAATTCTATTTTTTTTCCACAATTTAAATTTACGCTTTCAACTTAAATGCAGTTGCGCGACCAAAAAACATTTATAAATTTTATTGTGTTTACGCCGAAATCACATGTGTGTTATGTGCAAGCAAAAAATAATCGACAAATAAAATATTGAAAACAAAACATTACTTGTTAAAGGATAAAAGCAAAAGTCTTTCATATATTATATACACCTATATATCTTGTGTTTGCGTGTTGTATGTGGCCGAAGGTGTGTGTTGTGAAAGTGACAAAGACGCAATACAGACGCTTTTAATGCAAGCTAATATTTATTGACATTTTGCACGAAATTGTGTGTAATTGTTAAGGGACTTCTTGAACAACAAACAGCAGGGAATAAGTGCAACAACATATCGTATTTTTCGAAAATAAAGTGATCAAGCAAAATAAGCGAACTTTGCATATTAAAAGGTGATATTTAATGCTGTAGAGAATTTTAGGTAAATATGCAGTTAAAATTGAATTACTAAATTTTATTATACCCTGAACAGTGTATATTAAGTTTGGCACTAAATTTTTGACACCCAAAAGCAGCCAATAGTATATAGCTTAAATAAATTATCAACGTGCCGAGCGAGTCCATATAACCATATCCATATGCATATTTTAACGAATTAGTAACTTAGTTTCAGAGATATCGCTCTGAAACTTTTCACATGTGCTTTTTTCTCTAAGAAGCTGATTATTTTACGATATAGTTGATATCAGACCGCTATAGCTTATAGCTGTCATACGAACTGAACGCTCAAAATCAAGCTCTTGTATGGAAAACTTTTTTACTTGGCAAGATATCTTTCCAAAATTTTGTACAGATGATTGCCCAAGATAACTCTATAATCGGTGCCGAAATTGTTCAGATCGGACCACTGTAGCATATAGCTGCCATACAAGCTGAACGCTCAAAATCTAGTGGTTGTATGGAATGATTTGTATTTGTGAAGGGTGTTATAGCTTCGATGCAACTGAAGTTAATGTTTTTGCTTGTTTTGCTGTAAAGACAGTTTATTGATTAGTTTGATAACAATTAGTTGCGTATTTAGTGCTGTAATTTATAGAAGCGGATATTGAAACATTGAAAGTATAAGTGAAGTGTGAAAAACAAATTTGTTTTTACAAGTAACTACAAGTTTAACTATTTTTTGTATGATATACATATGTATGTATATTGTTAAGTTATTAGCAGTAAAATATTTTTATAGAAAACAGAATCCTGTAACATTTTGCAAACTACACAATTACTCAAATATATAAATTAATTTGCTAACAACAATATAAATTACGCAGTTCGCAAATGCATTTACATGTGTGTGTGTGTGTGTGTGTGTCTAAATACAGGTATGCCACACGCTCTAACGCCGAAATGTATACAATAGCTTTCGTAAATTAGTATAAAAGCCACTGTCTACTTATATTCATTAAGGCATACATACATGTACATATGTGATATATTATATGTATATATTTACAGCTAAGTATATATGTTGATATATATGTATGTGCATATGTATAGGTATATTTACAAGTGTTGTTTGGAAATACCAACACGATTTTCAAGAACTTAACGCTGATACTCCTGCCATATTAAACTCTCTGAGCATATGGTTGTGTATGTATGTATGTATATACATATAAGTATATGTATCTCTCATGTATGTTTATTTTTTATTTTTACGCATGAATATTACTTTGGCATGTGCTTATGATGCCAGGATGTGATTTGTAAACCCTTGTATGAGTCAAGCGCATAAATTGTCGCCTTCACACACGCACACGTCAATGTAGCTGCGCTCAAACATATGTAAATGCGTATGTATTAATATAAAAATGTGTAAAAGCTTGAGGATTAACTTTTTGTAGTGATTTTTCAAACGAGCGTAAATACAAACATATACATACATGCACAAAATAATATGCATACATATAGTTACATATATACACCTGTTTGTACATATAAGAAACACTGTTGATCTTTCGCAGATACGTCACGTTCATTTGTTGCGTTAAAGAGAGCGAAAACATTTAACGAAGAAGCAAAAATAATAAATTTGAAGTGAATTCCGCAAAATATAAAATGTGCATTAAAATGTCTGGGACTTTTTTTTTGCCATAACATTAAAGAGTTCATATAATTATTTAGAAAGACAGTTTAGATAGTTTAAGAATGTGTATTTAAATGTGTTGATGGAGTAGCAAATGCATAGAGCTATAACACTTTAAGTTTGTAAGGCAGAAAAAATAGTTTTTTTTTTTTTTAATTTGCTTTTTAGAAAGGCATTTAATTTAATAATTAAATAAAAATATTAATATGTGTTTAATTTTGAAAATTTTTTTGTTTAATCCCATTCCGCAATCGATCTCCAGGAGACCATATGAAAAACTTATTCTCGCGGTGAAGAAGTTTCTGCTTAAAATATTTAATTTCAAATCCACAAATTACAATAACTAAATATATATGAGGTTCAAAGGGCCGATAAAACAACATTTACACCTCATAGTGGCTTAAATATGAAAAATTATTATCAAAAATCTAATTTCAAGAATCATTAACTTACAAATATATATAAGTAAGTAGGTCGCCCAGATTAGACTAGATTAAAGAGAGTAAATACAAATACACTCATATCTTCGAAATTATTATCCCACAAAAGGTGGATTCATACCTTTATAACAAATTAGGAATAGCTCCATTCATCTTATTCTAAAATAATACCCTTAACAACTGCATTTCTTTTATCATTTGCTAGTTACTTCTTGCCTCGTGTTTTTTTTTTTTTTTTTTTTTTTTTTTTTTTTTTTTTTTTTTTTTTTTTTTTTTTTTTTTTTTTTTTTTTTTTTTTATTTATAGTATGTAAATATCAATAGGGTCGAATTAAAGGTTCTTAAATGATAAACAATATTCTTTGGAAGATGCGTTTTATTGATTTTTATTGATAGATAGTGCTCCGAATTCGGAAATAGTTGCATGGTCGTAGACAGTACTTATTCTTCTTTATTCGTTGTTACTTTTCACTGTTTTTCGCCAATTGGAGATTCAAAGTGTAGCTAGGTCCTTCTCCACCTGGTCTTTCTAACGGAGTGGTTCTGCGTCGAATACTCTCAGAGCTGGAGTGTGTTCATCTCTTCAGTCTGATCAATTATTTATATATTCTTTATTGAGTCCTCCGGATCTTTCTGGATGTTACAAAATTCGTGGCACAATTAATTCGTGGTGTACATACTCAGAACGCCTTGACATAAGAGCGCTATTTGTGTTGTTTATAGTAACTTAAAATATTCTTCTCGACCAAAAATGGAATCAAATCGCAAACATTTCCGAGCGAACTCGGCAATAGTGCATCGATGAACTTAATTCTACTATGGGAGATAAAGCTCCATCAAGGATCTGTGTTTATCGATGTTGTGGTGAATATTATCGAGGTTGTGAACCAATCGTCCAAGACTTTTTTTCCGGTAACTATTGGTTGAAACTGATATTACAAGACCGTCATGTGACTTATCGTGAGATCGAGACAACTATGGACCTAAGTGGGACTGGCATTTATTTAATATTACATGGACATAACATATTTGTTCGCTTTGGAGCCCACAGAATTTGTCGATTGCTTAAAAAAAAAAAAAGAAATGTTAATCAAATACGATAGCGAAGCTTCGAAAAACGTCTATAACATCGTGATAAGTGCTTTAGTGGATTTATGTACACATATGACCCTGTTTAGATGAGCCGAATGCAAAAAATGTTGTTTGCGCACGAAGCACTTTCAGGAAAATGCTACCCTGTTCAGAGTCAGAATAGAAAAAGTAACAATTTAACTTTCATATCAAACTATATTATCAAGGTCAGCATATTTCAGTTCATATAGATATACTTGGTTTACAAATTCATCACCACTAAGCGAGCCTTGTACTCGGCATTGTGTCAAACTTTTACTAGAACCGTTTAAAAATAAGTCCACCTATTTGACACGTTGACTGCATAGACCAAAATAGTTTGTGCAAATATTTCCTGACACTACATAAGAGGGCAATCCGATATGTATGTAACCTACGCGGCCCATGGCACCAACGCGTATTCAAATTTCGTAGATTCAGTCGAATCGAACTAGTAGTTTTGAAGTAACGACGAGTAAGAAAAGAAAGATTATATCAAGATGGGTAGTGACTACATTCTGTTTTTGAAATCACACATGATATACATATACCGTAACACTTGTCCTTTGATGGCGACCTTTAAAAATTGGATTGCCGAGTTTATATTTAGTCTCACGTCGGTTTATAATGAGTCACTAACAGG